GTGGTGCCTGCAGAGGGAGTGCATGGCTGGCGGGGATCCGATCCCAGTTACCGCACTTAACTCCTGACGTGCCCTGGCACCCCTCCTGCCACCCTCTTCCCGTTCTGTCTCCAGCACCTGGCTTTGGCCGCTCCCTGCCACGTGCCCTCTGCTCTTTTGGGTTCCACCTCTGTCCTGCATCCTTGTCGCGCCCACTCCGGCCAGAGACTTTCTCTTGTCCGTGGTCCTGACCGCTCATCTGCCTGGAGAACTCTCCGCCCTTCACCTCCCTCTTGTTCTGCTTCCTCTTGTAAGTCTCTCCACCCACCTTGCCTGTGAATCTGTACGCCGTGGTTGTAGAACCTGCCTGATGACCCTGTGTGCTTCTAATCCCAGTTCCAGCTTGTTAAAATAAACTTTCCGTTGTAGAGTGATTTTAGACTTCCAGAAAAATGTTGCAGCGCCAATCCGGAGGCTTCTCGTGTGCTCGGCTACCGTGGGACCCTGGGCACTAATGAACAGCAGCAGTAGGACACTGGTCAGCTTGTGCTGCTTCCCTTGGTTTGTGCCTCAGGCCCGTTCCTGCCCCGCAGTCCAGGGCCTGTAACCCTGGTGCGGCTCGGGCTCCGTTTCTAGGACTTCACCTGGGTCAGGCGTTCTGCAGGATCCCCTGGTTGGGACCGGCCTGCTGTTTGGCCTTCTCTGGGATTGACTGGGGCTGTGTGTTTCGGGAGTAAGACCACAGAGGGGCAGTGTGGTCCTGGCCGCATCAGGAATGCACCCCGTCAGGTGATGTGCGCCATCGCTGCCGGCGAGGCGGTCAGTGTCTCCCCGTGGACACGTTCCGTCCCCTTCCCTCGCTGGCCTGGCACGAAGCCGCTGCGTGCGGGGCCTGGGCAGCGGGCTCCCCACTGTTGAGACTTCTGCACGGGCGACCGTTTCTTCTCCAGTTGCTGTATCGTCTCTGCTCCAGTGCCGACTGCTCGGTGTCTCACTGGTACTGCAGTTCTGATCCAGTTCGCTCCCATCCTTCCAGCTCTGGCGACGGATGTTCTCTGCCGGTCCCTGTGTCCCTTTGACAAAGTCCCGTCGCTGTGGTGCCATTTCTTTCCTTTTTTTAAGCACTTCCTTGTTTTCTGGCACCGTAAGACACACCAGATCTCCTGCCTCCCACCTGGACCCAGCCGCTTGCGCAGGAAGTCCTGGCTCCTTTAATGGGAGGCTTGGTGTTGGAAACCAAGACCTGGGGGCTCCGTGTGCTCTTCGCTGCTGGGGCGTTGGTGTTCCGGGGCTCTCAACTGACAGCACCAACAGGTGCCGCCATCTGTGTCTCTGAGCCGAGCGCCGTGCCTGTATCTCCAACCTGCTACCATGAGGCTTGGCGTTTCCCACTCCAACCTGAGTGGCTTTGCGCCCGCCGTCCATTTCAAGTAGGCGGTGTCCAGTTCTGCGCACACGGACGTGCCCTGGGGAAGGGGCTGGAGCAGCTGGAGCACCGGGCAGTGAGCAGCGCCTGCAGCCTCACAGACCCCGCTCCTTTCCAGAATTCCCTTGCGCTCCACCGCGGCTGCATTGCTCTGCCACTCCTGCTTTCTGTCCTGGGACGCGGACGGCCTCAGTGACTTTGTCATTTTAACGATTAAGGTTTAATTTTTTATGCTATGGATTCCGTCAGATGCACGGTGTCACACATCCACCATTATAGTCACACAGCCCAAAGCACCCTCTGTGTCACCTGTTCTGCCGACCTCTGCCTGTCTCGGCCCTGGCCTCCTCTGCAGTGTCATGGGGTTGGATTACGTGTGCACAGCTTTCCAGACTGGCTTCTCACTTGGCAGAACCACCCGAGGTTCGCCCGTGTCTGCTACCTGGTTCTTGTTTGTTGCTGACTAGTCGTGCGTCGGATTTATCCGTTCACCTGGCTGAGGACATCCTGGGTGCGTCCAGGTTTGGGCATTATGAATAAAGCTGCAGCTGACATGGGTGAGCACGTAATTCCAGATGAATGAGCAGGTGCTCACGAGTGCGGTCGCTGACTTGTGTATGAAGTCAGTCTTGTTTCGCTCTCGGGGAAGCTGCCAGCCGCCGTGTCTGCGCTCCACCAGCAGCGAGTCAGCGCTTCTGCCGTGCCGTATCTGCCAGCGTTTGGTACTGTTGTGGTTTCTTAAAGAAATGGTGGCCGTTCTAATCTGTGTGTTGTAGTGTCTCCGTGTTTTAATTTGTGACTATTTTTTTTTTAATTCTTGCACCCCCAACATTAAGCATAGCGGCTAGCAAGTTATCCGTTTATTACTGTTCGTTTAGTTACTATGCTGGAAGAGTGAGCTGGTGAACTATTGCTGTCGAATGCCAGATGACTTGAACCCCTGCAGCTGGCTCACATCCCCTCTCGAAGACCGAGGCCTGCAGGCCCTGACGGCACGCCTCCCACACGTGCAGAGCCGCTGCCAGACGCTCTCAGCACAGGAACGCTCTGAGCCTCGCTCTAACCCCTGCCTCGTCGTCCGGGTTAGTCAGCGTAGTACTGCTTCCTTCAGACCAGAATCGGAGCTCAGGACCTCTGCCCTTATCCATCTGTGTTCAGGCCTGTGTGCGTGCACCGTGCGTTCATACCTGTGTGTGCGCACCATGTGTTCATACCTGTGTGTGTGCACCGTGTGTTCAGACCTGTGTGTATACACTGTGTGTTCACACCTGTGTCTATACACTGTGTGTGTATATACTGTGTTCATACCTCTGTGTGCACTGTGTGTTCACACCTGCACGCATGCACTGTACGTTCATACCTGTGTGTGTGCACCGTGCGTTCATACCTGTGTGTGCGTGCCGTGTGTTCATACCTGTGTGAGTGCACCGTGTGTTCAGACCAGTGTGTATACACTGTGTGTTCATACCTGTGTGTGTGCACCGTGCATTCATACCTGTGTGTGCGTGCCGTGTGTTCATACCTGTGTGAGTGCACCGTGTGTTCAGACCAGTGTATATACACTGTGTGTTCATACCTGTGTGTATACACTGTGTGTGTATATACTGTGTTCATACCTCTGTGTGCACTGTGTGTTCACACCTGCACGCGTGCACTGTACGTTCCTACCTGTGTGTGTGTGTACCGTGTGTTCAGACCTCTGTGCTGTGCGTTCATACCTGTGTGTGCGTGCTGTGTGTTCATACCTGTGTGAGTGCACTTGTGTTCATACCTGTGTGTGCACCGTGTAGTCATACCTGTGTGTGCTGTGTGTTCAAAGCTCTCTCTGTGTGCTGTGTGTTCAGACCTGTGTGCGTGCACTGTGTGTTCATACCTCTGTGCTGTGTGTTCATACCTGTGTGTGCACCATGTGTGCACCGTGTGTTCATGCCTGTGTGCGTGCACCGTGTGTTTATCTCTGTGTGCACTGTGTGTTCATACCTGTGTGTGTGCACTGTGTGTTCATACCTGTGTGAGTGCACCGTGTTTTCCTGCCTGCACGCATGCACCATGCGTTCATACCTGCGTGAACACAGTGAGGTTCTTAGGGCTGCGGTGGGCAGGCTATGACTTGGGTTGTGTTGTTTTTGTTTTTCTGAAGTGACACATAGAAGCATGCGTGTTTGCGGAATCAGTGTGGGGTCTCAGTGTGTGTATACAGCGGCAGTAGTCGCTCTGGGTAACTGGCTCCTCTGTCGCCTCATCCATGTGTCTTTTTGTGTGTGTTGGGACAGAATCCAGCTTTGGATAGATAGTCACCAGTTTCAGCCTTGAGCCCAAGTTCTAGAGTAGAGGCCCCAGGTCGTAGGTGGGGGGTGCACTACAGGTGTGGAGGACTTGACCCCCCTTCAGAGCGGAGACAGTGCCCAGGGCTGTGGACGGTGCTGCCGCAGATTCCTCCTTGGTCTTTGACATCATCTCCTCCTCCGCGCACTCCTGGCTGCACGGCAGCCGCCTCTGGCCTGTGTTCTTGTGCAGTTGTCGCAGGCAAGGTAGGCAGGGCCCTGAGGGTTCTGACTGTCGAGTTTGTAGCCTGGGTCCTTGTCCGAGGAGGTGAGCGTGAGCCACAGAGAACTCAGGCCTTCAGGGTTTTATTTCCTTCCTCTCTGAAATGGTTGTATGACAGCGGTACTCACCTCAGACTCTTGTTAGAGTTCAGCAAGGTAATAAATACGTGGGAAGACAGCACAGGGCCTGGCACCCGGGGAGGGGTGCGGGGGGCTGAACAAATACTGACTCTGGGAACTCGCTCTGCTTGGCGTGAGGTGCAGGGGAGGAGGGCGCCGCGCGCTGAGGAGGCTGCACTCTCAGACGGCTCCGCTGGCCCTGAGCGCTCTTCTCCGTGTCTGGTCCTCGGGGGTGAAGGGGCGCAGCTGTGTGCGCCTGGGGGCCTCCTGCCTCCCACCTGGAAGCTGTCGTGGTGAGGGCCAAGCTGCAGGTGCAGTGTGGGCGTGAGTCCTGCACGGTGACCTTGCCTGGCCTTGGTGCGGAAGCCGCGGCACCCGCAGGTGCTGCCTGGTGACTGAGCTGGGGGCCTGCCTCACCCACTTCCCTGCTCCCATGGAGAAGGGGAGGAGGAGGAGGCGGAGTCAGGAACAAGTTGTCTCTGCTCTCCCTGCCAGTCTGGCGGTTGCGACAGGGAAAATTCTAGAAGCGCAGAGCTGCACGTGGGGTGTCGGGAGGAGGGGTGTCTGGGCCTCTGTCCGCAGGCTCGGGAGGCTGGCAGGCTTGTGGGCAGAGCCCTCGCCACACGTGGTTTCTGGAGGTCCTTCTGCCACTGCAGTGGGAACTTGAGGGATCAGCAGGAGCATCGAGGGGCCGGTGGGGAACGTCCACCAAGTCTGGACGTTGCGGGTGGTGGGAGGTACGTGGCACCTGGCGGCCCTCTGTGCCGACCGCGCTTCCGGGCAATGGTGTCGGGCGTGGTGGCTGTTGAGGACCGGCTGTCTGGGAAGAAGCAGTTTCCTCGTTCTCCACCCCCTCTCCTGTGGGTAAACGTGCCCTTGACTCTCCAAGAAATCTGTACGGCTGTAATCTGAATCTTGTGTGGTTACAGGAGCCGGTCAGGCCCAGGAGCCACGGTCCAGTAGCTCTGAGGCGGCGTCTGGAACAGAGGAGGAGGAAGAGGAAGACGAGCCCAGCTTCGTCATGGGGCGATGACAACACAGCTGTCTGGGGCCTGGCTCGTTCGTGCCCAGGGCTCAGCACACCCGGTACACCCAGCGGGGAGAGGAGGCCTCCCTCTCGGCCTCCCTCCTGAGGCCTCGGGAACCCTGCCCTGACCCCCGTCATCCGTGAGCTTTGAGCCACTGGGCCTGGGGCCATCTCCTGGACACTGGACAGTTCACAGTTCATCTGTGTCCCCGCAGGGGAGAGCGAGCGCCCAGCCCACTGCTGGCACGGCTCCCACAGTGGACAGCAGTGACTTGGGACTGGTACCCGGGAAGGGAACGCTGATGTAGTAAACCCTGGTTTTTGTTCAGACATGTGAAACGCTGATTACTGGGGCCGTGAGATGGGGCTTCAAGACTGGACAGGTCCTGTCCCGGGGGAGCCGGCCCCCGGCGCCTCCCACAGGGGGTCTGTGTCTGTCCTCAGCTCCCAGCACACACCCGTGCATCAGGCCGTGAGCCCAGACCTCGCTGGGCACTGCACCCCGAGAAGGGGGCCTGCTGTGTGATGAGAGCGGTTGTGGTGCGCGGAGACTAGAATAGGCGGGAGAGAGTGACCCAGAGTGCAGGGTGGGCGGTCCTGGCTGGGCTGGAGCGGGGTGTTGGCCGGGAGCTGCAGTTTGATCCTGAAGTCCAGGGGCCTCTAAGGTGGGTGGGGAGCTCGTGGACTGGAGCCTGTAGCGTCCTCCCTGGTCTCACAGGAGCCAGGGTCAGAGGGGAGGGCACTGGAAGCCACCCAAGCCCACCCCCACACCCTGGCGCCTCCAGAGTGCAGGACCTGTGCTGCTGCGGGGAGCATGGTGGTGACGGGGTGCTGCTGCGGGGAGCGTGGCGGTGACGGGGTCGGCCTGGCCCTCAGTGCCTGCGGGGAGGGGACGGGCGGCCTCCGGCTGCAGCCTGTGCTCCGTTTCTGGATGGTGTGCGTCCAGCTCCAAGTACCGCGATGGTTTGTGCCTTCCCTGGACTTTGACGGGATTTAAGGAAATAGTTTTGAGCGGAAGGAGCCCAAGAAGGGTTTTGCTTTCCGTGTGCGGTTTAGGTTCCCCTGCCCCACTCTGTCCGCGGACATCTGCGGTCAGCCCGGCCCTGGGGGTCCCGCCCGCAGGAACTGCTTTCCCAGGAGGCTGAGACAGGCGTCAGCCCTGTGAACTGGCACACACCCTGCCGTGCAGTTTGAAACGCGGGTTTCCCTCATCAGGGCTAGTTGGCTGCTCTAGCCGTCTTTTGTTTTTTCAGTTCTTCTGTTTCTGGACTGTTGGTTTCTTAGCCAGCCCCCAAAACGTGGGTCACGGTTCTTGCCGCAGCCTGGGGCGCGCAGGCGTTCTCTGGTGCTGGTGCTGGGGGCTGCTGGGGAGCCGGAGCTGGGATCCCTGGCGCTGTGTCAGACAGGACAGACCCCGCGTGACCCTTCCCACTGCTGCCAGTTCACTGGGCCATGGGCACGTGTGGGGCGAGTGGATGAGGAACCACCCGCGCCAGGCAGGACACCGGACTCGTGCTGGTTCCAGAAGACGATGTTCGGGCAGGACAAGCACCCTAGTAGCGGTTTCTGACCCCAGGTGGAGTGACTCAGCCTTTCTGTCGTCATTGAGAGGGCGGCGGGGGACACTTGGCGCTCCCCCACCCTCCCGCAGAAAGAGCCGCAATTAGGGGAGGATCGTGAGGTAATGCGCTGGCCGGGGCTCGTGGGTGGAGAGCAGTCTGGAACGGAACACGGAGGCGTCTGTAGCACACTCGGCCGTCCGGGACTCCTCGAGGGTACGGCCCTCGCACCCTAGGACTCGGAAGGAACACGGAGCTCACGTGTCTGGATCCTGACCGGACGAGGTAGGCCTGCCTTCCCCCTCGTCCTCACAGACGTGGCGTGCGTGCGCGTCAGGCCTAGTGGTTTGTATCGGTCCTCTGCCTCGGGGCAGACGTGGGGGCGGCAGGCACGGCACAGCAGGGAGGCCCCCGTGCGGCTGCGCTGCCCCGGAGCAGAGCGGCCTCCGCGTCTGGGCCCGCGTCCTCGCGCACACCCTGGGAGGCGGCCGGTGACGGCTCAGGTGCTTCCGTCCCTGGCTGGGGCTCCCGCCCCCTACCTGCCACCTGGGACAGCCCTGGGTATTGTGGGTACTGGGAGGAGTGGACGAGCAGGTAGGAGCTGTGTGTGTGTGTCTCACTGCCCTTCAGACTAAAGCAATCTGCCCTCAATTAGCTCTCCCATAGGGCCTGCCACACAAGCTGCTTGTTGTTTTTAAGATTTATTTGTTCTTTGAAAGTTACAGAGAGTGAGGGAGAGATACAGCGAGGTCTTCCACATCCACAGGTTCACTCCCCAAGTGGCCACAACGGCCAGGACTGAGCCAGGAGCTTCATTCAGGTCTCCCGTATGGGTACAGGAGCCCAAGCACCTGGGCCACCTACTGCTGCTTCCCCAGGCCGTCAGCAGAGAGCTGGATTGGAAGTAGAGCAGCCAGGACTTGAACTGGTGCCCGTATGGGGTGCTAGCCTCGCAGGAGGCAGCTTTACCCTCTACGCCACAACAGAGGCCCCTGCCAAACAAGGTTTCCAAACACGGAGTTCTGGGAACTTGCCAGGACACGCGGGTAGTAAGTGGCGGAGCTGGGGGTGCCGGGGGGTCTTGGGGGGTGCCGGGGCTGGGGGCTACAGCCCCTTCAGCGAGTCGCCCGGTGACGCGCATGTTCCAGGCTGAGGCGGGGTGAGGTGGTGCTCTGCTCTCCCCCTGGTAGAAAGCATCCTGGTGACAGGCTTCCGGTGTTCACTCATTGGGCGAGTTTGCCGATGCCCCGCCCCCACCCCGGCACAGCATTGGCCGTGCGTCTGGTGTCTGCCGTCTGGAGAAACCATGCTAGCTGGGCTCTGTCCAGGCCAAGTCACAGTGCTGCTGGCGGAACAAGTGTGGGACCAGGGTATGTATGATGAACTGTCGGAAAAACCATCGGAGGCCACAGGAGCCTGCGCCGTCCTTCCACGGCAGTGCGGTGTGGGTGTGTGGGACAGAGCTGTGTGAACAGTTAGCGTCAGGGAGCGCGGGAGCAGTGTCCCGCACTACAGCGCCAGCCCGAGTCCATGGCTTTAAATCCACCCTTACTGGGGCCCTCTCAGCTTGTGGCTTTGACTTCCGTTCAGTGCCCAGACTGTCCTGTCCCCCTGGATGTCCAATGGGAGCCTTAAACTTGGTATAAGGAAAACTTGGACTTCAGCCCCTAGGCATGTTCCTCCTCCATCTTCCCTCCTTGGGCACCGGGGCTGCCATCCGCACAGGTGCTGGAGCACACCGCTCCCCCAGCTGTCCACCAGCAGGTCCTGGACCTGCTCATTTGTGTGCCCCGGCCCACACTACCAGCATCCCCTGGGTGGATGCTATGGGGCCTCCGGCTCATGCCCGCCCCAGTTTGTTCTCCCCGCAGCAGCCAGAGTGACCCTCTGAAAACCACGTCTTGGCACCCCGGTGCCTGTCCTCAGTCTTGGGACAGAACAGCAGCTGCAGGGTGCTGCTTCCCTCCCTCGTGCCAGACCACCCTCACGCTTGCTCCCACTGGCACCCTCCAGCCCCATCCCTGGACCCCGGCCCCACCTCGGGCCACCACCTCTCCAGCCACAGTGTGGGTGTCGCTGCCTCCAGGGGAGCCTTCCCACTGCCCCTCAGCTCTGCCTGGTTCTGGTGCGCGGCGCCTGTCAGTCCTCCGAGCTGTCAGCCCCAGCCACACCAGCCCACAAGAGGTGGGGCTTCCTGAAAAGGCCTTTGTGGCCAGGACGTAAGAGCCGGGAGCTACGCTTGCAGGAGACGGCTGTGGCCCCTGTGGGGCGGCCTGCCTGAAACCCAGGTTCCTAAAGCAGCTGGTTTTTAACAACCCTCGTACCCGCAGCATGAGAAGTACCCTGACTATTTTACATTTACTTCCCTTTTTCCAACACCTGAGTTAGAGCTGGAATGTCGTGTCTGCTTTTGGAAATGATTGTAACTCGGCTGGTTCCTGGGGAGGAGAGCCTGCCTCCCTCTGCAGCCGTGGTGGGCGCCAGCAAGCCTTCTCCGACCCCTCTGGAAGTTCACATTTGTTTCCTCTTCCCCATACTTCAGTGAGCCGCCGTTACCATCGTTCAACACAGATTGCAGAGAGAGCGCGCTCTGGGAAGTTAACCTGGCTGCGGGGTTGAGTTCTGTGTGCACTGGGCACCACCTGCTAAGCCCAGAGGCCTGTGCTGGGGGCTGGGGACGATGGCGAGCAGGACACGCCGTGTAGGAGTGGCGAGGAGGGCTGCCAGCTGCCGGGGCCTCTGCACCACCCAGGGGACAGGGGTTCGACAGAGGCCGCAAGGACCCTGCTTGCCCCCTGCGGCTGGGAGAGCGGAGTGGAAGGGGACGGGTGGAGCAGACAGAGCAGAGGCCGTGCTGGCCTGAACTGGCATGGGGGCAGAGAGGCAGGGAGACCCAGAGATGCTGAGGCAGAATTCACCGGACTGGGGGGGGGGGGGGCGACACTGGATTGATGATGTCACCGGCTGAGTGGATGATGGGACGCTCCCTCAGGCAGGTGGCCCCAACGCCGGCGCTGACTGGTGGCTGACACCCTTGGGTTGAGCCGCAGAGCTGAAGAGGGAATGGGGGGTGCTGGATGGCAGTGAAGGCAGGAAGTGGAGACCAGCTGCAGGGGGTCAGGCCACCCACCCAGAAGGGTTGGGGGGAGGCCGGGAAATGGACGTTTGCATTGTGGGTTTTGCAGAGGGGCTGCTGTGGGTGATGACAAGACCTAGGTCATGGGAGTGAGTGGCCGAGGAGACCAGACGGGAGCCACAAGGCCCGGGAGGCCCCCGGCTGGCTCAGCAGGACTGGAGGGCTGCCCTCAGCGTGCACTACACAGGTTGGTCTGTTCAAAGGCCCGGTGGCCGTGGCCCTGGCCCTATAGGGGATGGAGCAAAGCAGCCGGCTAGGGAGGCAGCCCCCACCCAGCGCGGGCATCTGGACCGCAGCCTCCCTCCCTCTGTGTGACTCCCGCCCCGCTGTCGGTGTCTTGGCCGTTCCATCTCCGTTGGTCACCACGCAACACCCTCCTCTGTCTCAGGGGGAAAAGAAGCTGTTTAGTGTGTGTGGTTAGGAAGCCGGCTCTGACGCTGCGGCTGGCCTCTGTCGGGGCTTGTGGGATGGCTGGCGGGAGGGTGGAGCCGGCTCCGGCCTGCCCAGGAGCTCTGGGGAGACCTGAACCGAGCGAGCGATGACTCTCACCTGTGAGTCAGTGTCGCCAATGCAGAACAAAGCCTTCTCTTCCTGGCTCCCATCCACACCCGCCCAGGGCCTCCCCTGCCCCTGTGGGTGACCAGGAGGGGAGGCCGGCGGAGTCGGGCCCATCCCGGGTGAGAGGGTGCCATGCCCGCAGCAGCTCCCAACCGTCAGGAAACCTGGGCCGCTTGACAGGAGTGGAATTTTTCTTTGGCTTGGAGAAATGTGTCACGGTCCGGCACTGTTGTGACAGATGGAAAAATCCTATGTAGGGCACACAGCAGCCTGCCGGGCGCGCGGAGCGGGCGCCCAGGGCCCGTCTGGCACGGCACGGCGGCTGACATGAACCACGGCGCCTCTCAGTGAGATACTCGCGGGCACTTCCTGAAAAGAACGTTCCCCTTAGTATCTCCGCCCTAAGCCGCAGCAGAGGGGAAGGGCCGGGCTCCGCAGGGACCCTCCCGCGCCGTCTGCGGTCAGCCCCGCTGCACCCGTGGCCAGCCCCAGCCCTTTCCCCATCCTGACCTCCCCACGCCCTGGTCCACCCCGCCCTGCTCCCACACGGCCGAGAGCAGACGCCGGGCATCCTCCGGGGTGCATCCTCCGGGGTGACCCCACCCTCAAGCCAGCATCGGCCCCGCCAGTCTGACCCGCGCTCATGGGAGCCCAGGCCCCTGCCCGGTCCCCTGGCCTGCCTCGCCCCCGCCACGTCAGCGGGATTAGGTGTGAGGTGAGCATCCTGCGGAGATGCCCGTGGAGGCACACCCGCCACGCCCGCCCGCGGGACCCTCTCCCTGGGAACCGAGCGCCCCTCCCCGCCTGGAGGTCACGTGGTTGGCCGCGCCCGCAGGGCTGGTCACGTGACGGCGCGCGCCGTTGCCCTGGCAGCCGCTGCAGCGGCCCGGCCTGCGGGGGCGGGGGCGGGGGCGGGGGTGGGGCGGGACAGCCGGTGCAGGCGGGGCCCGGGGGGGGGGGGGACCCTGCGGGCCGAGCGGAAGGAGGGAGGGGGCCGCCACGCTCGGCGCCCCGGCCGCGAGGCCACACGGCCACGCCACGGCCGCCTGCCGGGAGCCCGGAGCCAGCGCAGGGCCGGGCGGGGCGGACGGCGGCGCAGCTCCGGTGAGTTCCGCGGAGGGTCCGCACCCAGCCCTGTGGCCAGGGGTCTGGGCGGGGAAGCGGGGCTGGAATTGGAGCATGGACGGACGCCCGGCTGAGCGGGAAACCGGGCTTTCTCGGGATGGGGCGGGTGGAAGAGAGGTGGGGGTCGGCCAGGTAGCCCCTGGCAGGGGATTCCGGGTAGGGTGCGTGCCCAGGTGGCGGCGGTGGCCAGGGCTTCCCCGGGGGTGAGGACAGGGATGTGGACAGACGCCTCCGGAGGCCCCCGCTTGACAGACACTCTGTGCCCCAGATGTGTAGAGGCAGCCGAGGCGAGCCGACCCCAAAGCCTGCCTGTGGAGACGCTTCCCGCAGGCCTGCGAGGATGCACGGGCCCTCGCCCTACAGGCCTGCGCTCCCCCCGGCAGCCGGCCCCAAGACCATGGGCCCCGAGCCCGTGGGCCCTGGCAGAGGCGGACAGAGCTGCAGTGTGGGGCCCCTGTCTGTGGAGGAAGTGGTTTCTCTGTTAGCGCCAGCAAGCCTGTCCTGAGACCCAGCCCCAGGCCGCCTGTCCCCCCAACACCACCACCCTGGGGGCCTCTGCAGGGCCTAGACCGCCCTGGCCCCTCCCTCTGGATCCCGCCCCCACGTCCCTCAGTTGAACTGTGGCCCCGTCGCAGCTCCTCCACTCCCTATCCACCCCTTCCTCCCGCGTGCCTGGCCCCACTGGCCCTGTCCTAATGCTGACTCGGCGCGGCTTCTGCACACATCTCCCTGTCCCGGCCGGCAGCCCCTACCCCTGGAGCTTGGTGGGACCTGTGCCCACAGCTGGACTTCCTGCCTGTCGGATCCCTGCACGTGGCCAGCACCTTGCCTTTGGGGGAGGTCCCGCTTTGCCAAGACTGTCTTCAGCGCCTCGGAGCGTGTCCCCTGTCCCCGAGCCGGTGGTGCCAGCTGCCCCCGGGCAGTGGCGTCCTCCAAGGTGGGATTCCGTCTTTGGTGCCTAAGTGCTGGGAGACAGACGCTCTGGTGGAGCAAAGTTTAGCCTCGGCTCACCCCGTGCTGTGTCTCCTGTCTTCATGAGACCTGTTACATGTAACACATTTCCAAACCGCACTGTTTTCCGATGTTCGGAGCTAACCAGCCCCAGGCCGGTGAGGGCGTTTCCCTGACGCCTCTCCAAGGGAGGTTCCAGTGACGAGGCACCCGGCTGCAGATGTGGGCGAGCAGCCGAGACCCAGGCACCCCGGGCAGGAGTAGGGCACACAGCTGTTCCCTGGAGGTGCCCCCTGGGCAGGAGGAGCCATGGCCTGTGGCCCGGCAGCGAGGGCAGACAGCTTCCCGAGAGAGCCGGCTCACTCCAGTCCCCACCTTGCTGTGGAATCCTCCCAGAGCTTGGCGCGAACGGATTAAGTCCGTGTCTCCCGATTGCTGACCCTACGCCCGGCACCCCTGCCCCCAGCACTTGGAAACGCCGTGTGTGGCTTTCTCCTGGGGACCACGTGGCGGAATATGGAAGTTAGCACCCAAGGCCGAGTGAGCCGCGAGGTGCCCGTGCCCTAGGAGCAGCCCTGCCGGGTGTGCGTGCGGGAGCCACAGGCGATCACCCATCGCCGCGTGGGTTTAAATTCTCAGATCTGCTCAGAGGAGCCCTTCCGACGTTCGGTCAGTGTCAACGTCCAGCCAGGCGCCCACCGCGATGGCCGCAGGGGTCTCCAGTCAGTTGGAGATCCCATTTCTCGTTGTCTGAAGGTTCCCGCCGTAGCTTGGACGTGGCTCAACTGGAGTTACGTAAGCCGAGTGGTTTCTTAGGGGAACCGTACGGATTAGCGTGCAGGCCGCACTCGCTCCTTGCAAGTTTTATTCCGCGGCTGCACCTGGGCGTCGAGAGCGGCTTACAGGTGCATTGTGTCGTCCGGGGGTTCCGCAGGAGGGGCTGTCCCCATTCTGGGGCGAGGGTGTAGGCAGTGGAGTCACATCCGGGTTCCCTACCCTCAGCCCCGGCTGAAGTGCCGCAGCTCCCCCCCCCCCCCGACATTCGGAGGTGGCCCGGGTCAGGGGAGTCAGCAGTGCTTTTCGCCAGCCCTGGGTCCCTTCACCCCCCAGCCTTCTCCTGACTGGGGCTTGCGGAAGCAGCAGGAGGCAGATTCCAGGTCTTGGCCACGGTGGTGACTGGTGATGCCTGCCCGACCCTCCATGCCCCGGCTTGGGGACAGCCTCCGAGGGCAGGGCCTCACGCCGTCCCACCTTTGGGCCCCCAGCTCTGGCACAGGCTTGGGCCGTCCCCCCCGGGGGGGGAAGCAGGGTTCCTCAGGATGCTTGAACGTGTCCCCCTCCTTCCCCCAGCCCGGCTCCCACCATGAGCGCTGAGCTCAACGTGCCTGTGGACCCGTCCACCCCCGCCTGCTCGGAGCCCGGCCACAAGGGCATGGATTACCGGGACTGGGTCCGCCGCAGCTACCTGGAACTGGTCACCTCCAACCACCACTCGGTGCAGGCCCTGTCCTGGAGGAAGCTCTACCTGAGCAGAGCCAAGCTGAAGGCCTCCAGCAGGACCTCGGCCCTGCTCTCCGGCTTCGCCATGGTGAGTGCAGGTGCGGCGGGGCAGGTCGGCCCAGACCCAGTTCCTCTTAGAGGACGCCTCTGCGCCCCGAGGGCAGGTGGGGGCCTTTCTCTCAGGATCCCCAGCAGGGATGCCTAGAGCGGCCTCCCTCTCAGGCGCCACCCCGCAGTTTGGGAATCCGAGGGGTTAAGCAGGGACTGAGGGCTCCCCAGGGGTTAGCTGCTGCCCCCTGAGCTCCTGGCCCTGCCCCCGGCTCCCGCCTTCCCCCTGAGTCATCCCCAGGGCAGGAGTCGGTCTGGGCAGGGCCGCGTCTGCCATCTGCCGCCTGCCGCCTGTCTCGCCCCACCTCTGCTGTGTGCCGAGCTGCCGGCAGGCTGGGAGTGACCTGTGTCTGCAGCCCAGAGCCTCTCTCTCTCAAATGGTGGTGGAAGCCGGCAGGCTGCGTCTGAGGCCACGCCCCTGCGGCCGTGAGGACGGGCCACTGGCTCGCCGTGGTCAGGGAGGGCGAGACAGGGCGGGCCCGGAGGGCCACACGTTTGGGCATAGGTCGGAAGCTTAAAGCTAAGGCTCATTTAGGCCTGGCTTCTGTAAATGTCGTCACCAAAGTGTATCAACTCGTGGCTCACGACGGGCTTGCCGCGATTTTCCTCCTGTGGTTTGCGTCACAGTAAGAACAGGAGTGGGCGTTGAGCCCAGCAGCTAAAGCACCAGTTGGGGTGCCGGGTCCCCGTGTCGGAGTGCGTGGGCGTTACCCGAGTGTGACCCCCAGCTGCGGCTCCGGCTCCAGCGTCCTGCGGTGCAGGCCCCGGGACGCAGCCACTATGGCTCCGATGACAGCACTGTGCTGACCGCTCCTGGCTCTGGCCCGGCCCAGCCCTGGCTGTCGTGGGCTTCTGGGGAGCGAACCAGTGGCTCCCTCTGTCTCTCAGGTAGACAGAGGGTAAGAAGTTAAGCAGAACGTCCCTCCAGCCTGTGTGTGAGAAGTCTGGATGTCACTTAGAGTTGGCTTCCGGTGTGGACCGCAGAGAGTAGGGGTGCGCCAGCTGTGCCGGCCGGGGCCTGCTTGTGTTCTGACCTTGGAGAGGTGCGAGTATTTCAGGACCTGCTGCCACTGCCTGCCCCCCTGCGTGGGGCCCAGGTCTCAGCTGTCATTTTACACCCCGACCTGCCGCCTTTCTAGACTTGAGGGTCCCTCCCTGTTTTTCTGCCACGTTGAATTCAGGCTTCAAAACCACAAATTACTTTTTTTTTTTACTTTTTATTTATTTATGTTTATTTGACAGGTAGAGTTATATATAGAGAGAGACAGAAAGGTCTTCCTTCCGTTGGTTCACCCCCCAAATGGCCGCCACAGCTGGCGCTGCACCGATCCGAAGCGAGGAGCCAGGTGCTTCTCCTGGTCTCCCATGGGGTGCAGGGCCCAAGCACTTGGGCCATCCTCCACTGCCTTCCCAGGCCACAGCAGGGAGCTGGCCTGGAAGAGGAGCAACCGGGACAGAACCTGGTGCCCATATGGGATGCCGGCGCCGCAGGTGGAGGATTAGCCAAGTGAGCCGCAGCACCTGCCCCACTTTTTTTTTTATTTATTCGTTTATTTGAAAGGCAGAGTTACAGAGAGACAGAGGCAGAGAGACGTCTTCCATCCACTGGTTCACTCCCCAAATGGCTGCAACAGTCAGAGCTGTGCTGATCTGAAGCCAGGAGCTTCTTCCGGGTCCCCCAAGCAGGTGCAGGGACTCAAGCACTTGGGCCACCTCCCACTGCTTTCCCAGGCCATTAGCAGGGAGCTGGATCGGAAGTGGAGCAGCCAGGACTCGAACCAGCACCCACGTGGGATGCCAGCACTGCAGGCGGCAGTTTTATTCACTGTGCCACAGCACCGGCCCCCAAAATCACAAATTAAGGTTGGAAAGCAGGCGCTGTGAGTAGTGCTACAAACGGGGAGTGCGAATTCTGGAGACGAGAGGTTCAGGAGGCCCTAGCAACACTCAGAGGTATACGGTGGTGCTAGGTGAGCACGGTGAGCCAGACAGGCCGCGCTGGGCGTCCCGAGGCAGCCGGGTGCCGGCCGTGCACTCCCTGGCCGGGGCTGCACACCCCTGGTGATGACCCTTTCTCACCCCCACTTGGGGTGGGCCCTTGGCCCCAGCAGCTTGGAGAAGCCCCCAGCACCCTCGCCCTGTCTTCTGGAGGTCGCTCCCCTGGGGAGGCGGGGAGGTCAGCGTCTCTGAGCCTAGGAGCTGAAGAGCCCACCCCAGGCCAGGTGGGGAAATACGCGACAAGCACAGGGCATCGGAACCGCAGCTGGGCCGGCGCTGTGGTGCAGCGGGTGGAGCCATTGCCTGCAGTGCCGGCATCCCATGTGGGTGCCGGTTCGAGTCCCGGCCGCTCCACTTCAATCCAGCTCCCTGCTAATGCACCTGGGAAAGCAGTGGAAGATGGGCCCAAGTGCCTGGGCCCCTGCATCCACGTGGGAGACCAGAAAGAAGCTCCTGGCTCCTGCCTTTGGCCTGACCCAGCCCCAGCCACTGCAGCCATCCGGGAGTGAACCAGCAGATGGAAGATCTCTCTCTCTCTCTCTGTCTCTGTAACTGTCCCTTTCAAATAAATAGAAAAAAAATCTTAAGAAAAGAAACAGCTGCTGAGTGGGGGCAGGGCCGTGGCCAGAGGGACGCAGCCGGCTCGCCCCGCCGAGCCCCTCTACGTCAGGTCCCCCAGCTCCAACCCCAGAGCGGCTGCCCTGACCAGCGTGTGCTGGTGCCCAAGCCGGAGTTGGCGTCTGGGTGTTCATCCTTCCCTCGACAGATAAGCAGCGCCCGGAGCCCACCCCGGAAAACCTCTGTGTAAACAGTGAGGGGCAGCCCCTGGCCTCTCTCTCCTGGGGGCTCTGTCGGCCCTGTCTGCTCTGAGCAGTGGGCGGCAGCACGGACAGGCCCACAAGGGCTCTGAGGAACAGCACCCCCTGGCCAGCGTAGGTACATGTTTATCTGAGAGGTGGAGGGACAGAGAACAGAGACCTCAAATCCGTGGGTTCCCCGCAGTGCTTGCAGCAAGCAGGGCGGGGCCCTGTATCCGGGCCTCCCGAGCGTTGGGCCATCGTCTGTTGCCTTCCCAGTTAGCGGGAGCAGCCGGGACTCAGACGAGCGCTGCGGTGCCGTGCCAGTGTCACAGCCGGCACCGAGCCCACTGCTCCGCAAGCCTGGCCCTGGCCGCCGAGCGGCTGTTGTGGCTCGGGCCCCAGGCCTGCCCTGACCTCTGACTTAGCACAGGCGAGGGGCGGGGCCGGGGCGCTCACGCTAAGAAGAAGTGGTTGCTGTAGGAGGTTGTGAAATCTTCCTTACAGACTTCTAAATTTTTTTTTTTTTTCAAATAGAAGAGAGGCAGTGTGTTGTGTATTTTTTTTTAAATTTATTTTATTGATTTGAAAGGCAGAAAGAGAGAAGTCTGCCTTCCTCTCGTTCACTCCCTAAATGCCTGCAACAGCCACGGCTGGACCCTCCACAAGCAGCCGCAGCAGCCACAGTGCCACAGTGGGGTGGGGTGGGGGGCGGGCAGGGAGCCGAGGGGCCACCAGTGGGAGGCCACGAGCCCGGAGCTCAGTCCAAGCCTCCCACGTGGGTGGCAGGGGCCCAGCACCCGAGCCATCCTCTGCCAGCTTCCAGAATGCACGTTGGCAGGAAGTGGGGCAGCGCTGGGCTTGAGCAGACACTGACAGGGGACGCAGGGGCCGAAGCAGCGTTTTAGCAGCTATACCGGACACTTGCCGCCCTCTCACAGATTCTTAAAAAACAGGGGTGGGGCCGGCATCCCATGTGGATGCTGGTTCGAGTCCCGGCTCCTCGACTTCCAATCCAGCTCCCTGCTAATGCGCCTGGGAAAGCAGTAGAAGATGGCCCGAGTCCTGGGCCCCTGCACCCGCGTGGGAGACCAGGAAGAAGCTCCTGGCTTAGGCCCAGCCCTGGCCATTGTGGCCATTTAGGGAGTGAGCCAGTGGATGGAAGACCTCTCTCTGTTTCTCTCCCTCGAACTCTGCCTTTCAAATAAATAAAATAAATCTTTTAAAAAAAATAGGAATGGCTCAAATATATTAAGCAAAACCAGTGTGTAGAAAAATCCCCTGGCTATACTTTCTTTAAAGAAAGGAAGGAAGAAAAATTTGAGGGTTAAAGAGAAAGTGAGAGAGCTTCTTCACTGGTTTGCTCCCCAAGTGCCTGCAGCAGCCAGGGCTGGACCATGGGCAAAGCTGGGAGTCGGGGCTCCCAGAGGGGGGCAGGAACCCAAGTACTTGAGCCATCGCCACTGCCTCCCAGGGTCTGCAGTAGCAGGAAGCTGGAGCCGGGAGCCAGGGGCAGAAGTCAAGTCCGTGTGGCCGTGGCCACCTGGCCCGGCCTCTCCCTCAGGCCTTCCTGCCCCTCCCTTGCCTGGCGTGTCGGGAGGTGGGCCTGGTCTACACCCTTCCTGGGACGGGCCGAGGTGGGCCGGGAGGGTGTGGGAATGGACTTGGCCTGGGAGGGGCGTGTCGCTCCAGTTGGGGAGAAACCCTTTTGGGTCCAGCCCGCCTGTTGGCCACCTCCTGTTCCAGGGTAGGCTGGGGGCTTCACGTTCCCTCTGGGGGTCTTTAAGAAGTATAAAACAAATGTTCACAGCCTGGTGGTCCCCACCCTGCACAGGTGACCCCACAATTCTTTTAATTAATTTATTTGAAAGAGTTACAGAGAGGAGGAGAGGCAGAGAGAGAGAGAGAGAGATAGGTAGGTCTTCCATCCACTGGTTCATTCCCCAATTGGCCGCAATGGCTAGAGCTGCGCTGATCTGGAGCCAGGAGCCAGGAGCTTCCTCCCAGTCTTCCCATGCGGGTGCAGGGCCCAAGGACGTGGACCATCCTCCACTGCCTTCCCAGGCCACAGCAGAGAGCTGGATGGGAAGTGGAGCAGCCGGGACTAGAACTGGTGCCCCCATGGGATGCGGGCACTGCAGGCGGCACCTTTACCTGCTACGCCACAGCGCCGGCCCGAACTCACAGTTCTTTACCCCCCCCCCTTTTCTCTGTTTAATTAATTAGTTAATTCATTAATTTGAAAGACACAGAGAGCTTCCATCCGCTGCTGCTTTCTCCAAATGGCCACAGCAGCCGGGGCTGGGCTGGCGCCAGGAGCTCGGAGCTCCATCCTGCTCTCCCAGGATTCCACCCGGACTCCCCCCGGGCTCTCTCAGTGACTGTCCCCTTACCTGCTGGGACCCCTCCCACACCTCCCCTCTGGTCCCCGGCCCCAGCTGGGCGACACGCCCTGTGGTCTGGAGGATTCCGTCCAGGGTGCACCCGTGAGCCTCGGCCTCCGGGAGCCTCTGTGCGCCTCTTGCAAAGCCCACTCGTAGTGTTTGCCAAACAGCCAGCGTCCGGCAGCTGAACCACCCGTCAGCCTGGCTCTGACGCCGGCAGTGGAGCCGTGTGCTGCGGGGGCCTCTGCCCTGGGTCGGCGCCAGTGGCCCAGCTACCCCCTCGCTCCTGTAGGGAAAGCACCCGGAGGGGAGACCCCCCACCCCCCGCCCTGGGCCTCTTTGCTCTGCTCTGTACTCTTTAGATTGTTCCTCGGTGGAATCCCAGGAAAGACAGGGACGTGTGTGATGTTTAAACGGTAAGGGGCCTGCACGGCGGAGCAGCTGGCCAGGCCGCAGCTGGCAAGCCGGGGTCCACGCGGGAGGGAGCACCAGCTGTGAGTGCCGTGGTCTCCGAGGGCCCAGAACCCGGGTGGCCCCGCCCCGCCCCTCTCTGCGGCTGGTGACTCCCCGGGACTCCGTGACTCGCAGGTGGCCATGGTGGAGGTGCAGCTGGAGACGCAGTACCAGTACCCGCGGCCGCTGCTCATCGCCTTCAGCGCCTGCACCACGGTGCTGGTGGCCGTGCACCTGTTCGCGCTGCTCATCAGCACCTGCATCCTGCCCAACGTGGAGGCGGTGAGCAACATCCACAACCTCAACTCCATCAGCGAGTCCCCGCACGAGCGCATGCACCCCTACATCGAGCTGGCCTGGGGCTTCTCCACCGTGCTGGGCATCCTGCTCTTCCTGGCCGAGGTGGTGCTGCTCTGCTGGATCAAGTTCCTGCCCGTGGACTCGAGGCGCCAGCCCGGCCCCCTGCCCGGCGCCGGCGGCCACACGGGCTGGCAGGCCGCCCTGGTGTCCACCATCATCATGGTGCCCGTGGGCCTCATCTTCGTGGTCTTCACCATCCACTTCTACCGCTCGCTGGTGCGCCACAAGACCGAGCGCCACAACCGCGAGATCGAGGAGCTGCACAAGCTCAAGGTGCAGCTGGACGGACACGAGCGCGGCCTGCAGGTGGTCTGAGGGAGGGCGTGGCCCCGCCGCCTGCAGGGGCGTCAGGGAGGGCGTGGCCCGCCGCCTGCAGGGGGTGTCAGGGTGGGCGTGGCCCCGCCGCCTGCAGGTGGTCTGAGAGTGGGCGTGGCCCCGCCGCCTGCAGGGGGCGTCAGGGAGGGCGCGGGCCCCGCCAGGCTGCGTGGACACTGCCGGACAGTTCAAGACCAAAGTTCCGCTCCTGTCTTAACGCTGCCATCGCCTCCATGGTCCCCTCAGGAAACGGGGCTCTGGCTACGAGCTCGGGGGCAGAGACAGACCCGGCCCCCTGGCCCTGGCCCCGGGGCGCAGTGAAGAGCCCCGGTTGAGGAGGCTGTGCTGTCAGCCCTGCCCCAGGTAGGGTTCCAGGCAGCACCCCATGGGCAGAGGCGTTTCGCAGACCTGGCGCCACTGGCCGGTGGGGGTGGGGAGACTCGGGCAGCGCCCTGAGTTCAGAGCAGGAGCTGTGGAGGGAGACCTGAGGTGGGCGGCACGGCCGCCTGGCCGGGGGCAACTGGCAGGGACCAGGGTTCCGGCACGGGCCGGCTCGGCCGAGGGTCGCGGCCTGGTGTTGGGGTCAGGAAGGGGTGTCTGGGCACCCACCGAGGAGGCTGGCGGCCAGAGCGCGCTCTCCCTGCCAGCCCGGTGCCCTGGCTTTGTGCGGCCCCCCAAGCGGGGAAGGACCCCTGGTCCATGGCCTCTGAGGCTGAGTTGCCACCCACAGGGAAGGGGACAGCCTGGGGAGGACTGGGGCAGTGGGGTCGGTGGGACCCCTCCCCCAGCTCTGCCTCGCTGTGCCTCTCGTGGACACGGGCCACCAGCACAGAGGTTCCCGCCACCACCGCGCAGTGCGGGCTCTGGTTCTCACCAGGGCGTCTGGCAGGCCTGAGCACGCCCGTGTGCGGCAGCTGCCCCCACACTGCTGTTGAAACTCAGCTTGTCCCGGTCACCAGCGGCGACCCGGGCAGGCGGCCTTGTCTCTCGTTCTGTTGTTGATTTCTCTGTGCTCAGCTTGTGTCTGCGGGGTCTGGGATTGAGACCCCCCTGTGAGTGGGACATCCACCCGGAGCCCTGGCACGCATCTCGCAGCCCGGTCTCCCCACGGCCGCGTCCCCTGCAGCCCCCACCCCCCGTCTCTGCTCCCCTAGAGCCTTCCTGGCATCGCCCCACACCCAGCAGCGGCGGCTGCTACTCCTAGGCGGCCGCCTGGGGTCCAGCTCTGCAGCTGGGAGGGGCTGCGCCAGCCACCCTGTGCCAGCCTGGGGTCAGTTACTTCTCCAGACCATAGGCAGAGCCCTCGGCCTGGCCTGGCCCTGTCGGGGTCGGCCCCGAGGGCTCAGCACGGTGCCACAGGGAGGGGAGATGCCACAGCCCCGGGTGACACTAACCGGTGATGCGCTTGGCGGTGTTCGCCCGGAGCATGCCCAGCGCCAGCCTTCTGGCTGCAAGGCACGGCGGGCAGCCTCTGGGGAACGTGACCGTGGGTGCGAGGAGCTGGTAGGGGCTCCTCGGGAGGGGCAGGAGCCACTCCTCAGGGCAGGGAACCACAGGCTGGCTGGCTGGTTCCCGGGGCTTAACCTGACTGTGCAGTGCGCTAAATGCAGGGCCTGGGTGGGCCCGCCCCAGTTCCCCTGGCGGGACGCGAGTGTTTCTCTTAGAAACCGCCAAGGGGGTCTGCTGGGGCCAACCACGGACCTGCGCCAGCTGTCTGCATGACATCCTGTAGCCCATGCGTGGTGTGCGTAGCCCATTCTGTGTACGGGTTTTTCAAACAGTTGCCCTGGATTGAGCCGAATAAATCCGCGAAGCCGCTCGGCGCTCTTTCTGCTCTTGGTGGGGCACCACCACCGAGGGGGCACGTGTGCCCCAGGCCAGCGAGGGGCGGGCGCTTGGCTGGGACGCAGAGGCAGGGTGCTCAGCTCCCGTGCAGGGAGGGAGTGGTGGCGCAGCCCCGCCCACTGGGGCTCTCCCTTTCCCGAAACAGTGGGAGAGCAGCGGGCCGTCCATCTGACGGGGTCACTTGGAAGTCCCCAAGGCCTCCAGCAGAGGAGGTCCTCAGAGTCCCTGCGGGTCCCTGTGGCTTCAGGGCCAGTGCCCTGGCCGTCTGCGCAGGCCGCAGGGGCACACAGGGCCCTGCCTCAGCCCGGCGGCCCAGCAAGGAAGCAGTCACCCACTGAGGTGGACGCCCCCTCCTGTCCGGCACGTCAGCCTGGAGACCCCCAGGAGGCAGGTGACAAGCAGCTGGCGTCATGGAGAGTCTGTGGCAGTGCCGCGTGCTGCCATCCCCAGGGCCAGAGTGGCCTGGGCCAGCCCGCTGTCCCGCCCTCGAGCGAGATAGCACTTAGAGGAGGTTGCTGTTACAGGAGAGACACAGAAAACCCCAGCACCCCCTGGCTCCAGGGTAGCATCCACAGAGCCTTGAGTGGGGCCCTACAGGCCAAAGAGCCCCTCGTTGGGCCATTTAGACTTTTAAGCCCCCTCCCCAGCCTGTTGCTGGCCCACCCACGGGTGCCAAGACAGATCCAGGCGGGAGTAATCCCACAGCTGCCCCTCCCGTCCCAGAGCCAGGACCAGCCTGGGCTGCACCCCCGCCACTCGGATCCCAGCAGCAGGTGCCCAGGCTCCCGGCCAGCGTGGCCGAACAGCGTCAACCGAGCAGCCCCTGGAGCCTCCGGCAAATGCCGGCCTCCCCGCGGGCGCACTGCCGGGCTCCTGCCTTGTCTCCCGCACCTGCGGGCGTGCCGGGCGCAGTGCTGCCTGGAGTGAGCTGTGACCGTGGGAGACCACAGGGCCCTGGAGTCTGCCTGTCTTCGCGTCCCAGCTTCAGGGATGGACTGGGTCAGGGGGCACAGCATCACGGAACGACTCCCACCACGTGCTCTGCGGGCTGCCGAGGGGCCAGTGGGCCGACGTGTGGCAGCCGCGCAGTGACGCTGGGGGAGGGGGCTTCTGAGCCTTCCCCGCCCCTCCCCAGTGTGTGCTTCTCGCAGGCTCTGCCCTGGGGGTGGGGCTGCTCCAAAGCTCCCCTGGGTACCCTCTGAGGGGACCAGGGTGTAGCTTCCAGGCATCAGGTTCCCCTCTGGGTGCCCCAAGATGGACCTGCTTGGGGTTACCCTCAGGCTCCATCCGTGGGAGCCAGCCAGGCACAGCAGTCAGTCACTCAGCCCTGGAAACCCGGGCAGCCTTGCTGTGAGGCCACGCAGGACGCCCTGGACCACGCCGAGGCCCAGAATCTGGGCTGCAAAGACCAGGCCCTGCTCCCCCGGTGGCTCCCAAGTCTATTCCGTCTCACAAGCAGCGGGACAGAGGGCTGGCCACACCCCTCAGCCTCCAGGGACCACCCCGCACCTGACCGCAGCGCCCGGCCAGGTAGGCGCCCAGGGCCACAAAGGGAGCAGCCTCGAGGAATCCTGGGAGCTGAGTCTCTTGCTCACACAGGCTGGGCGGGGGAGCAGAGGGAGGACCAGGTTCGCAGCTCCCCCTGACCCGCGCGGCCCCCACCCCAGGGGGTCAAGCACGACCCAGACTGAGCCCAAGTCAGCAGCCGTCACCAACTGCAGTCCTCGCCCGCCCACGCCCTCCAGCCCGTGCACCCCCGGGTCAGGGGAGTGGACAGCGAGGAAAACGTCTCACACGGAAGCAACGCTGCGTAAGCTCAGGTTACTCCACTTCTCCTGAACTGTGACAACCAAGCGACCCAGGCAGGGTGGCCACGGCGCAGGTGGGACGTGCCTGCCCCTCAGAACAGCCCCGGCAGGCCTCACTGCCCACGGCGCCCCAGGGTCTCACGTCTGGGCACTAGCCAGGGCCCTGCTGCCGTCCGGCGGAGGGCTGGCTCCCATCCTGGGGTGGGGGCGGGGAGGGTTCAGTCTCGCGTGTCAGCACTAGCCAGGGCCCTGCTGCTGTCCGGCCGAGGGTGGGGGCGAGGGAGGCTCAGTCTCCCTGCTGCCGGCCGAGGGTGGGGTGGGGTTCACACAGGTCTCCCCTGAAAGGAGAGTGCGATGTTGAGGAGCTCCCACCCCAGCTCCTGCTGCCGCCCCCCAGGGCGGAACTCGGCCGACAGCTCCCTGAAGGTGGCGCACACGCGCCGGGCCTCCACGTGCCTGCGGTGGATGGCGTGCTGCCACAGGTGCCGCGCGGCCCCGGTGAGCACCAGCAGGGAGCGGCGGGGTAAGGGCACGGCCACCTCCACCTCCTGGCACGGCACGGACCTGCTGGGGGCGATCAGGTTGTCCACCAGGGCCTCGGGGCCGGCGGCCGGCGCCGAGCAGAGCAGCAGGCTGCCGGGCGCCTCCCGGCTCATGGACAGCACGGTGGGGGACAGCAGGTTGAGGCTCACCAGCCGCTCGCCCCACAGCCAGGCGTCGTCCAGGTGGGGGTCGATGGCGGAGCCCCGCTCGGGGCAGTAGTCCAGGTTGCACTGCTCCACGGGCCGGAAGTCCTCCAGGCCGGGGTAGAGGCCCATTCTCCGCACCACCTCGCGGCTGAAGCTGGGGAGGCCTCGGAAGCCCGCGGTCTTCAGCTTCTGCTTCCGGAAGTTGACCTTGGGGCCGTAGTCCTGCGGGGGGAGGGCAGGGGGGAGGGGCAGGTGGCTGAGCCGGCAGAGGCGGCCGTCGAGGACCGAGTCCTGGGCATTCGGGCACGGGGACGCGGTGCAGAGCGCCTGGCCCCGGGAATGGGGCGTTCCCAGCGGGGGGAGGAGGCAGGCACAGGGCGAGCAGCCTGCGACCCCGGGCCATGGCGGAGCCCGGTGACCTCTGTGGGGCATAGCCCAGGGTGCTGGGGGCGGGCAGGACCCTGTGTTGCAGTGGGAGGGCCCTACCTCTGCCTCTAACTCTGCCTTTAAAATAAATGAATACATCTTTAAAAAAAAAAAAAAAAAAAAAGATGACCAGAGCTGCCCGTGGCCCATTCCCAGCCACGGCACGGCCCGGTTCCCGAGGGCTGTGGCTTAGACGGCAGAGTGCGCGGGAGGGGTGACTGTCAGTACTGGCCCTGGAGGGCAGCCGAGGCAGGGTGGGGAATAGGCAGGTGGACCGGGCCTAAGCAGGGATGCTGTGGTCCCTGGCCAGGGAGTCACAGGAGAACAGGCAGGCACGTGTGCCGGGACGTGGAACGTGATGGGGGGAGGGGGCAGGCAGCCCACGGCAGCCACAGAAGTCTGAATGCCCGTCAGGAACCGGCCCCTCAGGAGTAGACCCAGCCCCCGCCCAGCGACCCTGGCCGCCCACTCCCTCAGCCCAGGGCTCGTGGTGCGAGACCTCCCCCGCGCAGCCCGGCGCACCTGCTTCCGGCGTCCGGACTGCGAGAGCTTCCAGGGGTCGCGGTCCATCAGCCGCACCATCTCGGCCTCTTCGTCCCGGGTCACGAAGTCCTCGATGAGCATCACCCCCGGGAAGGGGAAGGCCCAGCCCTCAAAGTCGGAGTCGGCGGCACCCACGGCCCAGCCCGTGTCCGAGCAGTAAAGGAACTCGTGTGTTCTCTGCCGGAGAGGGGGTGGGCATCACAGGACCGCCACACGCTGAGGGAGTCCCCCTCCCCGGGGCGAGGTGCCCTGGGGTGGCTCCTTGCTCTTCCCCTGTCCGGAGCGGCCCTCCTTTTGACGTCCATCTCCCAGAGGGGGCGCAGCAAGGTCAAGGAGCCAGCTCAGGGCCGCACACCCGGGAGCAGTCTGCAAATGCGCCGTTGCCTCGGGTGCGTGGACGGAAAAGGCCTGGGTGGGAGCCCCCGGCCCAGCCAGGTGACCCTGGGAGAGCAGCACAGGGCCGGAGGTCGGAGGGGAGGTGTCCCCCTCTGTGGTGGCCCAAGAGGCACCCAGCTGAGCTGTCACCGTCATCAGCCATCCGCGAGGGCCGTGACTGGCTGACCCCTTGTGCTGCGGTGCCTGGCCTCTCTGCCCACTGCCGTTGGGGGCTTGTCTCTGCCACCCTAATTGGGTCACTACCCCCTTCAGGTGTCCCGGATCTCGTGCACTGACGGCCCTCCCTCCCCGGCCCTGCATCTCATACTGCAGGCTCTCGGGGTCCTTGCTGACCCTGCCGCGGTCCCCCAGGGAGGGCTGGGCGACAGCAGTGCAGCGTTCCTGGGACACCCCCCCGCACCGGGGGTGCAGGGATCAGGATCCTGCCCCACCCCTTCATCTCCCCCCATCAGCTGGGCGTTCACTTGAGCCCAGCCTCTCCTCCCACACACCTCTCACCCCTGAGCTGTCGCTGGCTCCTCCTCTCCCACGATGCCCCCGCTCTGCCACCATCCCGGGGCCGCACCTGGCCCTGTCCCCTTCCAGGCCTCAGCGCCGCACCTCCCTTCCTGTCCTTGCCCGCTAGTCACTCCCCCGGGGCCCCCAGCCCCTCGCCACTGCCTCTTTTCTACCCTCAGCTCTGTCCACCGGGGTGACCCAAGGCCTCGACCCTTCCCTGGGGCAAGGAGAAGCCAGATCGGTGCTGAAGCAGCCGGTTTGCTCCAGCAGCGCCGGCTTCACCCCGGCACAGCTGTCCTGCAGGTGAGAGCGGGGACACGGACCTGCGCGGGTCCCGGCCAGAGCCACCACCCAGGCTAGGACCCCATGGGCACCAGAAAGCGGGCTGGCCTCTGCGGCCCCTCCTCCTGCACTCCCGTCTCCGGGCCCGCTCCCACCGCAGGCCTCCCCGCCCCCCGTCCTCTCCCCTCCCCAGCCCCTGGAGACGCGTTTCTCCTCCGTCCCTGCGCAAGTGACTCCTCCCGAGTCGTCCCAAGGGACCGGCTCACTCCGCTCGGGGCGGGCGCTCAAGGCTCCCCACCCTGCAGCGCGGGTCAGCGGGTCTCCTCCGCTCCGTCCAGGGCTCACAGACAACGCCGCGCCACTCACGTCTCTGCCGATGGACACCTAGGTCGCGTCTGCCCAGGTGTCCCCTCCACCCCCTCCTTTCCCTTCTCCTGGGCGCGCGGAGCCAGAGCGGGGCAGCGGGCTCCGGCGATGGCCGTGGTCACTGCGCCGGCCTCGCAGCCTCCGCACCTCCTTCCCTGCCTGCCCGGGTGCGAGCTCACGTGACCCCTTCTCCCCTCCAAACCCCCGCAGTCCCTCTCCTGGGGTATCACCCCGCCGCCGCGCGCGCACCCACCGCGGCCTCGCCCCCTGACGGACTGTCACCCCGGCCGCGGCGGGCCTCCCTTTCCCCTACGCAGAGCGGGTTTTGTGGGCGCGGTCCCTCGCTCAGCCCCTACCTGCGGGGAGAGCTGCCAGGGCGGGAACCCACCGCGCTGCCGCTCGCAGATCAGGCAGGTCCGGATGCCCTTGCAGCCACATTCCTTGAGCACCTCCGGGGCCTCGGCCGCCGCCGCCGCCGCCGCCATCGCGCCGTCCGGGCGGCCAGTGCGCAGGCGCCGGGCCGCGGGGGCCGCCGGGAGTCGTAGTCCGCGCGCGGGGCACGTGGTCCTGGCTTCCTTCCGGTCGCGGCCGCCTGCGCCCGCGGGGCTCATTCGGCACCGCCTCCTGGGCTGCGCTGACCTCAGGCGTGGGCTTCGGACTGGGGAGCGTGGGTTCCGCGGGCTGCCGGGGCGGCGCGTCGGCGCCATGGGCCCCCTCACTGCGCGGCTGCTGCTGCAGCGCGGGCGACCCAAGAGCGACCGGCTGGGACGGATCCGGAGCCTGGAGTAAGAAGGGGGCCGGGAGCGAGGTCCCACGGGGTCGGTGGGCCGTTGGGAAGAGAGGCCGGCGGCCGTTAAGTCGCTCGCGCTCGGGAGGGGGCCCCGCGGCCGTTCCCGCCAAACGTCTCCTGCGGAGGAGATGCGCGCGGTCGCAGCCCCGAAGAGGGCGGGTTGCGGGTTGAGCCACCTGTTGAGCTCAAAGGGGCGCGGGGAAAGGCGTCCTGGGGGCGCCATGCAGGCCCGGGGGGCAGCTTCGCAGGCGGAAGGGCTCTCCCGGCACCCTGGCCCTGAGCCTCCCCGCCCTGCCCCCGCCGCAGCCTGTCCGGGCTGAAGCTGCACTCGGAGCACCTGGACCCCAAGCTGCTGGGCCGCCTGAAGCAGCTGCAGGAGCTGGACCTGTCCAACAACCAGCTGGACACGCTGCCGGCCAACCTGGGGCTGGCGCACCTGCGCGTCCTGCGCTGCGCCAACAACCAGCTGGCCGACGTCTCGGCCCTGTGCCAGTTCCCGCAGCTGGAGGAGCTCAGCCTGGAGGGCAACCCTTTCCTGACGGTCAGTGGACAGCCCCGCGGGGGAGGGCTCCGGGCCCTGGGCCCCGGGCTCGGGCCGGCCGCCGCCTGAGCTGCGCTCGCCCTGCACCCCGCAGGTCAGCGACAACCTGAAAGTCTCCTTTCTCCTGCCCAACCTCCGGAAGGTGAACGGCAAGGATGCCTCCGCCAACTGCACGCAGGTGGAGAGCCTGAACCGCGAGCTGACCAGCAGGGTACGGGCCGGCAGCCACTGAGCAGCACCTGCGCGCGGCGGGAGGGGCCGGTGGCGGGCTCTGCCCTGAGCGCTCCTGCCCGCTGTGCCTGAGCCCCGCTGTGGTGGGGCCCCCTTTGTCCGTGGAGGGGGGCCGTTCCTGGGGTCTGTGTTGACCAGGTTCCTGCAATGTGTGGATAAGAGGGGGCGGGGCAGGGGGTGGGGCTAGCCACCGGTGGTGCAGGGTTGACACCCGCGGGGTGTGAGGTCAGATAGGGGCTGGCCAGGGCTGGATCCCGTCCCTCCTCCCCCAGGTCACAGCTCACTGGGAGAAGTTCATGGAGGCGCTGGGCCCAGAAAAGGAGACCCAGAAGGCGCAGGCCGACTTTGTGAAGTCCGCGGTCAGAGACGTCCGCTACGGGCCCGAGTCCCTCAGCGAGTTCACCCAGTGGCGTGTAGGTGCTCACCCTGCCGCGCCGGGGCGCTGGCCTGCCCCGAGGGGCTGGGGGGGTGGGGCGGCTGGACAGAGGAGACGGCCCTATTGGCTGAATCCCTTTCCAAGTAGGAAGCATACGCCCCCTTGGAGCACGAGTCTGGGGGATGCTGGGGGACCCAGGACTGTGCCCAGCTTCCTGATGCCCCCCCCCAGGTGCGGATGATCTCCGAGGAGTTGGTGGCCTCTGGTGGGACACAGGTCCATGTGGCCAGTGTCCCCGATAAGCCCCCAGAAGCTGCAGCTGCCCACAAGCCCAAGGTGAGCGTGGCTGCGTGTGGCCCCCGGGGCTCCCAGGGCCTGCCGTGCCCCTTCTGCCTGAGTTGGCTCCCCCCGGGACCCTGGGCCATCCGCGGCTCCCACCCCATGGCGGGGCCGTGGTTCGGGCAGGAAGTCCCGGGGACTTCGGGCCCGTGGTCACCCAGGTCCTCTCCGCAGGCCAGGCTGGTGAAGCGGCCCGATGACACCCCACTCGGCCTCTCTGCCCCCAAGCGGGTGCGCGCCTCCCCGGCCGCCCGGAGGGAGGGCAGCCCTGGGGGCTCGGACAGCAGCCAGGTGAGCTGGGCGGTGGGCAGGGGTGGGGAGGTCAAGGGCTCGCACAGCCCCTGACGCGCTCTGCCCCCCAGGCTGCCCTGAAGCTGGAGCCGCTGCACTTCCTGCAGTGCCACAGCAAGAACAACAGCCCCAAGGACCTGGAGACCCAGCTGTGGGCCTGCGCCTTCGAGCCGGCCCCGGAGGAGGGTACGGCCGCCCGCGGGGGCGTGGCGGGGGCGGGGCCAGGGCCTGGAGACCCAGCTGTGGGCCTGCGCCTTCGAGCCGGCCCCGGAGGAGGGTACGGCCGCCCGCGGGGGCGTGGCGGGGGCGGGGCCAGGGCCTGGAGACCTAGCGGTGGGCCTGCGCCTTCGAGCCGGCCCCGGAGGAGGGTACGGCTGCCCGTGGGGGCGTGCCAGGGGCGGGGCTAGGACCTGGAGACCTAGCTGTGGGCCTGCGCCTTCGAGCCGGCCCCGGAGGAGGGTACGGCCACAGGGCCCACGGAGGGTGGCGGGGCCGCGGCCCACGACATGAAGCTGCGGGTCCCACGGGAGCTGTTTTTCTAAAAAGTCGTTATTTGAGAGAGGGGCCCCATCCACTGGTCCACTCCCTGCATGCCTACAACAGCCCCCGGCTGAGGCCAGAACTGGAATCCAGTCCAGGGTCTGCATTAGCAGGAAGTCAAATCAGGAGTGGAGCTGGAGTCAGACCCAGGCAGACCAGACAGGGGCTTCTTTTGAGATTTTTTGTTTGTTTGTTTAAGAGGTAGTTACAGAGACAGGGAGAGGCACAGAGAGAGGTCTTCATCCACTGGTTCACATTTGGGGAAAATTGGCTGCAGCCCCGGAGCTGGGCTGATCCGAGGCCACGAGCTTCATCCCAGCGTCCCAGGCGGTGCAGGAGCAAGCACTTGGGCCATCCTCCACTGCTTTCTCTGGCCGTAAGCAGAGAGCTGGGTGGGAGGAAGAGTGGCCCGGATACAGCCTGGCGCCCACATGGGAGGCCGGCGCCGCGGGTGGGGGCTCAGCCCTCTGCAGCACAGCACCTGCCCCAGGGGCCAGGGTGTACCACCAAGGGGGCCGCCTTGGATGGGAGGGGACAGTTTAGAAGGTGTCCTCCAGCCAGGCGGGAGCTCTCCAGTCCAGGTTTCCGCTCAGCTGAGCCCCTCAAAACAGGGGGCTCGGGGGCCACGTCGCAGACCGTGGCCACCTGCGGCGGGGAGGCTGTGTGCGTGATCGACTGCCAGACGGGCATCGTGCTCCACAAGTACAAGGCGCCTGGCGAGGTGGGTGCGGGCCCCTGCCTCCCTGCTCCCACGCCGGGGAAGCCGACGCCGCCGTGCGGGGCGGTGCCCACAGCTGCTTCCTCCCCCCCGCCAGGAGTTCTTCTCGGTGGCCTGGACGACCCTGACGGTGGTCACCCAAGCCGGCCACAAGAAGCGCTGGAACGTGCTGGCGGCTGCGGGCCTGCGGGGCCTGGTCCGGCTGCTGCACGTGCGCGCCGGCTTCTGCTGCGGAGCCATCCGGGCCCACAAGAAGGCCATCGCCACCCTCTGCTTCAGCCCGACTCGGGAGACCCACCTCTTCAGTAAGACCCGCCCTCTGCCGGGGCCCCCGCACCCTTCTCCTGCTGCCCTGGCGGGAAGACAGAACCTCAGGCCCCCCTCTGGGCTTCACGCCCACCTTTGCTGCTGCTCTGTGGCCTTGGATTTCCCAGCACCCGGGCCGCCCTGCTCCCCCGTCAGGGACCTGGGTGGTGACCCCCAATGGGCGGGGCCCGAGCTGCCCTGGCGACTGCGGTGTGGGCCCTGGGCTAGAGCAAGGAGGGACAGGGCTGGCCTCGGTTGCCCAGCCTCAGCCTGGGACGCGGCCAGCCAATGGGAGCAGGGCCACCTGTCCCTTTGCCCACCCCTCCTCAGCGGCCTCCTATGACAAGCGGATCATCCTCTGGGACATCGGGGTGCCCAACCACGACTACGAATTCCAGGCGAGGTGACGGCAGGGCAGGGCTGGGGCGGGGCGAGCTGGGCAGCAGGGCGGGGGCCAGCTGGGGCCAGCAGCTCCCATCTCCCCCCCCACAGCCAGCTGCTCACACTGGACGCCGCCTCCATCCCCCTGCGCCTCTGCCCCGTCCCCTCCTGCCCGGATGCCTATCTGCTGGCCGGCTGTGAGGGCGGCTGCTGCTGCTGGGACGTGCGGCTGGACCAGCCCCAGAAGAGGAGGTGAGGTGGGGCGGGCTCCCCGCGCCCCTGCCGCCTTCCCCTCGCCTGTGGCTGAGTGATGGAGCCCAGCCCGCTGCGCACCAGCTTGAGGCCCCTGGTGGTGGTGAGCAGGAGAGGCCCTGGGGCACATCTGCCCCTGCCGGGCACAGGCACTCGGGACAGGTGTGCCCCCCCCCAGGCCCCTTCAGAAGGGTGCTGGGTGGCAGAGCCAGCTCATGTGGGGCAGGGAGGGGGAACAGCCTGTGGTGGGGACAGCTGGCAGCAGTGAGGCGGCATGGTGGCCTGGGCCACTGGGAGGACAGGGCAGGTGAGGGCTGGGGCGTGCAGCCCTGGGCCCAGGTCTGGGGGCGTCCGGCCCCTGGCTCTGGTGCACAGCCCTGCCTCCCCACCCCCAACACACACAGGGCGTGTGAGGTGGAGTTCGTGTTCTCCGAGGCGCCCGGGCGCAGAGTGGACGGGCTGGCCTTTGTGAACGAGGACGTCGTGGGTGAGTGCGGCCAGCCTGGGCCGATGGCTTCCCTCGGGGGCTGGGGTCTCGGGCTCAGCCTGGCACCCCCTGTTCTCCCGCAGCCTCCAAGGGGAACAGCCCAGGCACCATCTGCTTATGGAGCTGGAGCCAGACATGGGGTGGCAGGGGCAGCCGGTCCTCGGTGGCCGTGGTCGTCCTGGCCTGGCTGCAGTGGTCGTCCACCAACCTGGCCTACTTCTCCCTCAGCACCTGCCCAGGTGAGCACTTGCCCCCAGGAGCACCCCCCACCC